ACTTGGAGATATCAGAAAGCCACAGAGCCAGCAGGCCTAATTCTTTCCAAGTCCTTGGGGCTAGCATTTCTAGTAGCTTACTGCAGACTTTCAGAGACCCCTGACAAATAGGAGCTCCCCAGAAACAATGACTGACACGGAATTTGTCTGGACTTGTGTCAGCGAATGGTTTTATTTCAGCAGCTGATGACAGCTTGAGCACAGGGCTGCCCCTGCCAGACTCTTCCCTGGCCTTTTGCTGGGGGCCGCGAAGGTACGTGACGTAGGACCACAGCAGACTCTGCACCATAGGCACTCTGCAGGGAATTCTGCAAATGCAGCAGCATGACCACGCTCATGCAGTGTTGGACCAGACCTGAGGCTCTGATGAAACCCTTTCTGCAGGTATAATAGAGAGCAGAATTAGATCTGTAGTATTATTTTCAGTGCTTTAATTTGAAAAAAAAATTCAATCAACATTTTTTGTAATTAAATGTAGACTTGGAGATTTTTATACCCAGAGGTGCACAGTTAGATAAAAGGAGGGAAAATGTTTAATCTGGGTATCATCAACCCATTCCAGCAAACCTCGTACCAGGTGAACGCACTGTGCTGTCAAGCACAGGAAACACTTGTATGAAAGTGTCTCTTACAAGGGCTTACAGTCTCACTTCTATTTCTGGATGCAAATGCGAGTACTGCAAGTTTCTTTATATAAACATGTTAACATATATATTTACACATATACAAAAAAACCCATCATGTTGGCTTCATGGAAGCTCACCCACTGATCCTTTGGGTAAGAGGTAATCACACATTGGCCTGCTAAGACGTTGTAATTGCACACCAAGTAATTACGTTTGGAAGCTTCTGCTGCAATTTAACCCAGTCATTACATTTTTTAGAGGGTTTGTGAGCTAAAATTGTTATAAATGGCAACCAGCCCAGTGGCTCAGCAGCAAAACAAGGTTCTGTCATGCTGGAGACCCTGGTTCAAGGACAGACAAAGTGTCTTGGGCGCTGAGCCAATGCACACTAGCTTTGCTCCAGCAATGGCAGGGCAGCTTTTTGTGAGGAGAAGGGGGCCGGTGAGTAATTCCAATCGCTTAGCTGAAATGTGATGCTACCAGATGTAGAGGCCACCACAGCTTGAACCCTGCCCCCACAGCCACAAAGAAAGGATATTAAATACATACCAATGGGGAGGAAGAGCCATGAAAATGTGGAGGAAAAATGTGTAGTAAAATCTTTCCTGCGCTCTAATTGCAACTTTGGCGTTCTCTGAAGGATACGTGACTAAAAAAGCAAATCCACCATTATATTTGCAGACACTTCAGTTAACTGATAGGATTGTTAGCTGAACCTTGGTAAGGGAGCAGTCAGGGGTCAGCTTGGTCTCTGCATGGGGCTGATTTAAAAATGCAAGAGGAATGTCCCATGTAGGCACAAGGAACCTATCTTGATCAAATATCTTGAACAAAAAAATTATCTTGAAAAATTGTCTTGAACGAAGCCATACTTTGAACTTACACCAACAAAAGACAGATGAGAATCTGGCCCGTGTACTTAAAAAGGAGGGAGTGGTTGAGCATATAAAGCTGAAACTGTGCTGTTTGATAGATTTGAGCAAGTGAAAAAGCTACGAGTGGAAACGACAAAGTACCACCCCTCACTTTAGAATCATTGGTGGACTATTTAAAATGAATGGTATGAATGTTCAGGGAATTTTTTTTTTCTTCTTTTGTTTTGCACAGACTGGTATATGCACGTTTGCACTGAAAACAAAAACCTATAGAACTGACAGGTGAACTTAAACTACTTAGAATTCATATCAGCCACATTAATTGGCATCTAAAGAATTGTTTATAAAAATGTAGAGCAGATTTTAATTACTTTCCTTTATTTGTCTTAGATCTCCAAGAAGCAGACACTTGGGTATGGAGTAATAGAACTACATCCCCCCCTTTAAAGGCTGTTACCTCTAGGCTTGAAAATCTGCTGAAGAGTAGCACAGAGATGTTCGTCAGAAACGTGACTGAACACTTCAGTAAAAATCTCATTGAAAACCTCTACTTTGACTTGAAATCTGCTGTAACAGAGAAAGCCTGGATTCCAACAACCACTCTTCAATACTCTAGCACTACAGAGAAGGTAAGGCAGAAGAGTTATTGATTGATTTTTATTAAGCCTGCTCCACTCTGTGGAGCCTGATAGCTATTACAGGTGGCTGTTTCACGGACTAAAAAAACAGCTACAGGATTAAGCTTTGTTCTTTATTTCTGATGGGAGGCTTTGTTCATGCTGATAGCACCCTTTGCTAGCAGCACAGCTGCAGAAAAATTCTGCCTCCTCTGTGCAACACAATCCTGGTGCGCACAATGCACCGGGAAAATCCCTAAGCTCAAGGGAAATGCTCAGGATACATGAGGAGCAATGGAAAGCTCAGGGGGGGGGGGGGAGCCACAGGAGCCTGCATATCTGCTCTCAGTGACTTAGGCTCTGCCATTGGTTTGTTGCACAACATGAGGGCCTAACTCTAATTATGCTCTAGGATTCACAGTATGTTTTATGACCTTATTTAGGATAATTGAGTCCTAAAATTACATACATGATTTCCAGATCAAAGCAAGTGAAACCTGAATGCTTTAACTTGCCTTACAAGGAATGCAGGGCTTGACCCTGGTCAGCTTATCTCCTGACCGATAGGCGGAGTGGAGTCACACAGCCGCTTCTTGATCTCTGCTCTGTCCTACCGCAAACAGCCCTGGCAGAGGAGGGGAATGGATCCGATGCCAGCCCCATCCACAGAAGGAGCTAATGGCAGGCATTCAGTACCTCCACATCAGTTTCCAGTCTTCCTTTTCTGCAAGGCACAGTTAAGCAATCTGAGAGCAAATCTGGAACCACCGTTGGCAAAATGTGCCCAGGCAGTTAGAGCTAAAGCAGGCCGGACATTATTGGTCACATACCGGTTTAGAACTGAAAATCCCTAAATCCCTTGTGGCTTCTTCTCCAGGAGACCACACTGCACTCAATGTATTGCGGCAGGCAAACGTGTTGTTTCAGTTACTACTTGGGGTGTCAGTGTTACTGTGGATAAGACTAAGAAATGTGTTTTTTATTTGGGAGGGCTGTGGACAGAGCAGTCTGTACAATCTGGTATGACCAACATCACTAGAGACAGGGAGAAAGGAGAAGTAGCATCACCCAGAACTATGTTGACCCCAATAACCAACTAGAAGGTTTATGGACCCTGAGACTGCTGTTCTAGTGCTGATGAGGGGAAGGGACTGAGCCAATGACGGATGCGCTGCACCCCGTTCCATAGCTGATGGAGGTGGTTCTTCTAAAATACGATTATTCTGGCTCGGTGCAGGCAGGCTGAGCTTATTTCCCCATGCCCTCTGTCCACAGGCATACCTCCTGCACACAACACTGGTCTCCGCCGAATAGAAATGTCCTATATAATCTGGTATTACCCAAACTGCCTCCAGCACTCCTATTAAATAATCCCACCAGTGCTAGAGAAATGGCACAATGGGGTTCATACCCCAGTTCACTGATTAAGTTGCATAGGTCAATGCTTCAAACCAGAATCCTGATGGTAAGCACTCTAAGCATATCCTTAAAAAAAAAAATAAAATTGTTAATATCTGTCCCTTAGGGCCTCCAGCTGGGTCTGGACATTTGAATCTAGATACATCAATTTAGACACACAAACTGAAAATCTTTGGCCTCCATCTCTGTTTCCCTGTCTTTAGAGTGGAGCTAAAACCAGTTTTGTCAAGCTAGCAGGGCTGTTAAAGGATTAACCAGATTTAACGTGATACTTTGAAAACACATAGACTAAGTAAGCGCTGAGCATTGCTGTCAGCAAGGCAGTACCTTCTGTGAACTGCATTTGCCCAGGCTAGGTCCTCTCATTTGTAGAAGTAAAGCCTTGATGTTATTTGGCTGTGAGCATACCCGTTTGGGGGGGGGGACAATGGTGACACTTCAATCAAACAAAATGTTTGGTTTAAGAGCAGCCTTGGATTTCAAGTAAAACTGCAGCTTGCACTTTCAAGCCATGACAAAAGCTATGCAAAGCCCATTTCCTCTTGATTAGAGAGACAGAGAGAGGTTGGTGTTAAAAAAAAAGAAGTCAGGAAACCTTGGGAAAGTGGCTGAAAGGGACTTTGGAGCCTGCTATTAGAGACATGTCCGGCCACTCCCAAAACTCACTTCCAGTCTTTTTTTTTTTTTTCTTTTTTAATTAGTTTCTTGGCTTGCCACACAGATCGGTAAGTGTTAAAGGCTGTGTGACTGCTGATTTGCTAAAAGCCCATTTAGTCCATTTATTCAGTCTGGAAATAATTATTCATATTATCTTGGCTATTCTATACAAATATATTGCCACCAGTGAATTGCAGAGCCCTCCTGTTTTATTCCAGTGCCGGCACAGACATCTGTGGTAGACCTTACCCTTACAGCAGCTTTGTGCTGGGTAACGCACAGAAGGAAGGCTCAAACCCCTCAGTAAACCAGTACTTCCCTACTCATATAGCAGAGTAGTTTTAAAGATTTTACAGTAGCAAGAATAAGAGTAATAAAGTAGGAAGTTCTACATTATGGGCAATGCTGAGAAGCAGCAACATCCCTTTCTCCACATGTTATCTTACATTAGCTTGGAGAGAGACATTTCCAAGATCTTTAAATTTCATCTGTAGTTGTTTCAATTTCTTTCCTGCCATTTGTAAGATTGGACCGATTTTTTTTTTTTTTACTTTCATATATTACATCTACTTAACTAATTTACACCTACGTATTTGAATTACATCTTCCCTGCAAATTCAGTTTATGGATGTTTTCAAAATCCCTACAATGTGAGCTCTGCTTGCCAAGACAAGGTAGGTTACTCCGAACAGTCTCATTTTCAGAGAGGGGTTTGAAGTAACCCAAGCATCCCGGAAAGCCTGCAGATTTGCTCTTTGCCAGTGCTGGAAAAAATATTGGTGTGGTTTACGCCATTAGGTCCCAAAAGCACAATCATCTAAAGATGAATTTGTGCTGTAAGAAATCTCACACCATGAACTGATTACAAGACACCGATATAATTTTGCTCCCACTTTAGGTCTAATACACACACCTCATGTTTTCCATCAAGGGTTTGTTTATGGATGTCCTAGCTCTTTGGGGCACGGTCCCTTCTTTTGGCTGAAGTATGTAAAACATCTCTTCCAAGGGAGATCTTGTTCTGCAGTGGGCTTGAGAATGGCATAATAATAAACACATATTTATATCATCAGTTAAGGTGATATTCATGACATTATTAATCATCCCAAGCCTTTAGAGAGTAAAGCTCAACACTTTCAGAGCCATGTCCCGAGGACCAGGCATGGAGCTCCACTGGGACAGATGAAGCTTTCCACAGGTGCAGGAACTACCCAAGAGTGCTCAGACCTTCAGTTTCCAAACAAGAATTTCTGAATGAAAGCTAAGATTTTTCAGATATTTTTATCTCGTTTGACAGGTTCATGCCCAGAAAAATTCTGCAGCAGCAGCTCCCCTAGAAGGCAGACTAAAGTTTGTAAAGCCTAGCGCCTTTCTCTCCCTAAAATGGGACAAAAGTGAAAAGAAGATGGAGTTGAACTTGTTTGCAGTGCTGCAAAAATTAAAACCCCACGTGCATCATACAGTATAGAAAGATGCAGAAAAATGCCATTCCCGTGTGAAGAAAGTAAAAGTCAAATTCCTCCCCCTTTATGCAATCTCAGATGTTCCCCATGGCTGCTAGGTTTTTGGCTATTTGAGTATCTGAAGGTTCAACACCCTTCTGGCTACATTTCTCCTCCCTCACCCCACCCCACATATACATATACATGACTTTTAAGAGGCTGAAACCTAAACAAGAAGGAAATGGGCATGCATGACAGAAAGGGAGAGCTGTGCCACAGCTGCAGCCGATTCAGAGTGGCGCACAGCTCGTTTGAAAACAGGGAGGCTTTCTTGCCTTCCATGGTGTAATTTTAGCTTGGGAGTTATTCAGGGGATGTGGGAAGGAATTGTTTCAAGGACACAAGTCGATGCGTAACAAAACAAAAAGCTGAGATAACTTGGCCGCTGACGGACAGGCTACTCCTCTGCCGGTGCGTGGGGCTGCAGGCAGCAGCTCGGCGTCGGACTCTGCCGGGAGTCTCCTTGCCACAATGCCTCTGGTCACAGCGCCACACGGCCAGGGAGAGGATGGAGGCCTTGGTGGTCCACAGCTAACCCCTAAAAATGTCAGTATTTGGGACACGGGAGCTGGAATGGCAGCTTAGTGATGGCTGAGGCCAAGAGGAGCGTGGGCCATGAGATGGGGCGGGTGTGAGGGGCAGAAGACATGAGGAGAAGCAGGCATGCGAGGTGAGGTGGCCATGAAGTGAGGCGAGTGTGAGCTGAGGCGGCCATGAGGCAAGGCAGCCACGGGGGGCGGGCGGGGGGC